TCAACATCATGAAAATTAAACCTTATTTTCAATAAGCAATCCTGAAAAATATTTGGGGGTGCTTAACTTTTTTCCAGGTGTATATATTCTTTAAATATAAATTATTCCCTTATGGTATTATAAGCTGATGTACTCATTAAATGGCATAAAAAAGTCATAAAAGTCCCAAGTGAATGCCAAAAGGAGGGGTCAAATCTGGACAAAAACCTAATTCCTCTATAACAGGGAGGAAGACTATCAGCTGAAACATGGGGATCCACCATTACAGCTGGAGAAGGTTTGACATTATTACTATGCAGATGACTCAACCAAAAAAAAAGAAATTCAAAGCACTAAGTGACACACTGTTAGATCTAAGTCTAAAAGTAGAAAAATGGAGTTTTGCCTTTCTAAGTTGTTAACTGTTTTTTTAGAGGACATTACCTATTATCTAGATGATGGAAATGGTGTGTGGATTTTGTGTTCTTATATTTTCCAAAAGCTTTTATAGGATGCAAAAAAAGAATGGTTAAGAAAATCAAACTTTTAGGGTCTGGGAGAAAATCTAATTAACTGAACTGTAGGGTGCTTGGGACTTTTCCCTTTGTTACTTATATTAACAATATTGATAGGGGCATTTTAGTAAACTTTGTTAATGAAAATTGTCTCATTGGTACCTCTATCCGTATTGAGGATGTTGGAAAACTACAGTATGACTTACATCAACTGTTAAGTTGGACAAATGTTTGGTAAATAACTTCTAATTACAGTAAGAGCAAGGTAATGTATCTAGATTATCATAATTTGGATCACACATTTCATATAGAAAGGAACCTACTCAACAATGTGACCAGAGAAGCTCTTGTCAGAGTAATAGTTAAGTCACTTAAGCCATTGAGGTAGTGCTCAGTTGTTAATAGTAAAGCTATCAGAACTTTAGGATGCATTTATAGAGATTTATTGATTACAAGTCAAAAAAGGGTAATCATCTCTCTCAATGTGCAAATCATTAGTTATGCCTCACTTAGAATACTGTGTAGTTTTGGTTTTCTTATTCAAGGAAAGACATTAACTTATTGGAAAAAGTTCAGCTAAGGATGTCTACTAGGATGATTCTGGGGATGAAAGGGTTAACTTATAGGGTTAGGATAAATTCTCTTAACGTATCTTATTTTGACAAAAGAAGGGTAAGAGATTCTCTTACTAAAGTTTAAAAATCATACAGGGGATTGAAAAGATAAAATTTCTGATTTCTTTGTGCTGTGTTCTAATTATGACAATAGGATGAGATGACTCAAGTTTCAGATTTGGAGAAAAGACATGCTAGGCTTCAGTTTTATTTATATAATAGGATCACTGGATTATGGAATGAGTTACTATCACCAGTAGTGAAGATCAGAACTTTATAAGAACTTAAGATGGGAGTCAATTATTTTCTAAGAAATAAACTTGGATATAAATATCTATCTAGAAAATGATAATGGTGTTGCTTTTTTTTGTTTGTTGTTGAACATAAAGCTACAAAATGGGCTATCTGTGCTGTGCCCACCATGGGTACTGAAACTCAGTTTTTAGCTCTGTAAACCTTCAGATTTATTGCTGAGCCAATGGGAGGCAGCTAATAACAAAGAATTATAACAAGCTTAATGCAACAGAAGTTATTATTTATGCTAGGGAGATTATGTTTAATAAGTAGATCCTCTTTAATTATGATAGATGTTCCAAATCTGTATGGCCTACAGCTAAAACTTTAAAAGTCTGTTGATAAGATTTTATATCCAGAAGTTTGACCATGTGTGTGTGTGTGTGTGTGTGTGTGTGTGTGTGTGTGTGTGTGTGTGTGTGTGTGTGTATATATATAATTAACTTTATTTTACTACTTATTAGTTAAGTTAAAGTTAATTATTATTACTACTATATTACTACGTAGATACTTAGTTTACTTA